GCATCTATTTTAAAACACCAATAGGTTTTTTGAAATGTTATTAACGCAATTTTATACGCATAAGTTTACTTTTTGCACTTAAAAAAAAATTCCTCACTTTCGGTTTCTCATAATGAATAGTGTTCTTCAAGTTTAACTTCTTTATAAATAGTTTTTTGTGATTTGTGTTTATTTTTTGTTACTTTAGTTAGAGTTAGTGGTAGTTTTTAAAATTTTATAAAATTAGAGGTAAAAATTGCATTGTAAGTCATCTTGATCCAGTCACGTGACCAGTTGACAAATTTATGAACTTTTTATTTTAATATTTATTCCAAAATGTTATATTTGCAAACTGAAAATTCATGCTGACAATGAATCATTTTAATAACATAAACATACTGAGAAAGTATTATGGTTTCACAACTCATAGTTTTGCAATAACTTGGGGCTTTCAAAATGTTCACCATGTTGCCCCGCTTTCCCCTATATATATATATATATATATATATATATATATATATATATATATATATATATATATATATATATATATATATATATATATTTATTTATTTATATATATAGTCTTGCATGGTAGTCACAAAGTTTTTCCCATAAACTGTTGTTTTAAAGAGCGCATTAATAAGCCTGACCAGAAAATGTTGAAAAACTTCATAAAATTTTTTTTTTTTTTAAATGATAGACTGCCTGCCCAAACCAAACCCTCAGTCGATGTAGCAGCACTCCCTAGCGAGCCAGGCTATTTGTAAGTCGATGTAGCAGCACTCTGTTGCAAGTCAGGCTATAAGATAGTCGATGTAGCAACACTCCCTTATAGCAGCAGGCTATAAGATAGTCGATGTAGCAACACTTACGCATGTTTTAAAAATGTTTTTTAATAAAACAAAAACAAAAACACCACTAGTTAAAAAAAACTTTTTACTCATTATTATTGGGGTTTTTTTAAAAAACAATAAAATTTAATGTACTTCGGCATTAATTTAATTGCTTTGACATTTCGACGACAATAAAATGCAGCTTAAGAGACAAGGTAAAAAAATTGTAGTCGAAAGAGACTTTTTTTTACCATAAAAGGGTTTTTCGACTACACTATAAGGATATATATATATATATATATATATATATATATATATATATATATATATATATATATATATATATATATATATATATATATATATATATAGCTCAGCAAACCCTTATATATTTTAAGTTTTAAAATGCTAAAAATCTCAGTTTCTCAAAATGCTAAAAATCTCAGTTTCTCAATAGTGCCACTACATTGGGTTGGAGCAGAAATTGTTTTTTTCCTTACTCCTAATTTTTTTTTATAAAAATGAAAGCAATATAAATTATTTTAAGCAATATAAATATATATAATAATAATAATACTATATATATATATATATATACAAAATAGAGTGCCTAATTTTCCTAATATAAAAAAGCAATAATAAATTAGTAGAAATCACCTTCTCAAAAGTCTTTTTTGAGAAAACATTAATATATATATATATATATATATATATATATATATATATATATATATATATATATATATATATATATATATATATGTATATATATATATATATATATATATATATGTATATATATATACATATATATATACATATATATATATATATATATATATATATATATATATATATATATATATATATAAAATATATATACATATATATATATATATATATATAAAATATATATATATATATATATATATATATATATATATATATATATATATATATATATATATATATATATATATATATATATATATATGTATATATATATACATATATATATACATATATATATATATATATATATATATATAAAATATATATACATATATATATATATATAAAATATATATATATATATATATATATATATATATATATATATATATATATATATATATATATATATATATATATATATATGTATATATTTATGTATTTATATATATATTTTTTCGTTTTTTAATTTTCATAATTATTTTAAAGTCAATTTTTAGGCTGAAGAAAATTTATATCATAGACTTTTGAACTTTTTTAGTAATATTAGATAAGGTCTTATTGACATGGAACAATGTAATTTTGCATAATTTTGAATAAATCTTTTTTTTTAACAATGCCAAAATGCAAGAACAAATAATAATCAAGAAAATTGTAATCAATTCACTAAAATAAATTACAGTTGTTTAAATTTAATGTAAAAGTAACAAGAAAAAAAGGAGATCGATACTTTCGCTTTGAGATGTTTTTGTTTACTGTGCACCTTCGGAAGAATGAGAACGAGTAATTTCTGGAACAAAAACATAAACAAAGCGCTATTGTTTGCTTCCAGACTATATATTTCTTATGACTCTGATGAAACATGTATATGAAATATTATGAATATATTCTTTAGATCGGAGCAAATATTTTGACCAATCAAATTAGGAAGCCATTCCTGTAAGTCTTCGATTGTAGGTTTTATTTACATAAATCTTATTTACCGCTATTGTTTTTAATTTGTCTATAGTATTATAGTTTACTAACTTTGTTAATTTATTTTGTATATTATTCTTAAGTAAATTATATAATGAGAGTGTTAAGTAAAACATGTACAGAGAGTAAAACATAAAATTATATTATTTTTTGTTATACATTCAATGTGTAAATAAAAATGTTATTTATTTTTATTAATTTAATTTTATTAATTAATTTTTATTTTCTTAAATTCATAAAATACAGTGTGTTTTATTCACACATTGATTGTGTAATAATATTTTTTGTTATTGTAAATGTATTGTAATACATTTACAATAGTTACCCTGTGTGTTACATAGTTAGGGTTAGGGTTATTGTGTATTATAATACACTTACCTAATGCATTTACCTATTATATTATTACATTTAATAATTAACTAGTGTGTAACACTAAGAATAATTATTGTAAATGTATTATTATACATTTACAATAATTAACATGTATTATTATACATTTTCAATAACAAAGCAACACACAATTTCTTACACGCTACTACTAAGCCAATACTTTTTTATTCTAAACTATGGCAATACTTTCAATCAGAGGTTTGTTGGTTAAAAATAAAATTAAAATTAAATTGATATGCTTCATAAAATTATATTGTTTAACTAATGATACTTTATTAAATTGTTTTATTAACTAATAAAGTTAAATATTAAAATTAAATTTAATTTTTAAATGATGTAGTTTTCTATAATCAAATTTTATCTTACTATAAGGATGTCAACGAATATTATCTTACTGGCCAGATCTTTTTTTTTTAAATATATGTCTTTAAAAAACATTAAGCACTCTAACTGTAAAATACACTATGTAAGCTAGTGTATTCTAAAATTTAAGTGCTCAATGTTTTTAAGCCTTACGTTTGCAAGGAAAAATTAGTTCAACACAATTTGCATTATTCAATGACCAGATTTGTTCAATGTTGGAGTAAGTTCCTGGCAAATTTTCTGATGCCACAACAAGAATTTTTCTCTTAAATAGCGTCTTTCTTCTAATCCTTTGAATAAGAGGTTGATTTTGAGGTGGTAAGCTGCTATCTGCTCTTAATGCAGTACAACAATGATTAGATAAAACTTGAGAAACCCATTACCACTATCAATTCCAAGCTTAACAAAATATCCGTCAGAAAATTTGCAAGAGAATTTGCAACATGATAAATCATTGCATTGAGCAACATCCCGAACTGTACTAAAATCTCCTTTCCATTGGTAGTTTTTAAGTCACTGCAGGTGACTTAAAAAATATTCTAGGCTTAGATTAGTAAAAACACTCATCTAAATATCCTCTACAGTCTGTTTTAACCTAATAAACCTGCTGAAGGAGAAACAGACTGTAGAAAAGATTTTGATAAATGTTTTTAAAATTTTTTATATATATATATATTTATAAAATTTTACATCGACTACATCGACTGACAAATAGCCTGACTCGCAAGGGAGTGCTGCTACATCGACTGACGGTTTGGTTTGGGCAGGCAGTCTATCATTTAAGAGAAAAAAAATTGTTTAAGTTTTTAAACTTTTTCTGCTCTGCTTTATTAATGCTCTTTTTAAAACTACAGTTTATGGGAAAAACTTTCTTTAACATTATTATGTTGTTTGACCTTCAACTTTATGTTGCAATCTCCTAATTTATGAGTGAAATCACTTGTATTAATAATCACAACAATTATTAGTCTAATAAGTTTTTTTAATCTAAAATAACACAATGAATAATTTAATCACAACATTTTCTGCAGCCATAAAATATATGAGTTTATATTAAGTAAGGTTCTTCGCATATCTTCTTCTATTAACTTTAATGGTGGACGACTTATTCTTGAGGATCTACATGGTTAGGATTAGGGTCAGGGTTAGGGAAAATTTTCTGAAAATTAATAAATGCTCCTTGTGTATAAAGCACTTGAAGTACATTGTTTTATGAACTCATTGCTCAGTAAATGTAACCTTCTTACACACTCCACAAGCCTATTTCCCAGATATTTTTACTTAGTCATTCTTAACTGGATGACCAATGTCTTTATCATGTAATCCTTAGCTCTTTTGTTTCAATTCCATCTTGTTAAGACTGAAAATTTTAAACACTATATATTAATTCTTCTTCAACTACATAAATTAGTTTTAATGCTAAGACAAGTCTAAACTCTTTACAAATAGATTACAAGAGCGTTACCAAAACCAAGGGTGTATCACTGAACAATGCTGCACACTAACCTTTACTTTCAAACTATCACTCTCTCTTTTGTTTTCATTTATGTTGTGATATTTTCATACATAGTCGTGAGAACTTTTTTAACATCTGAATATCATTAAACCCATCACACAAGCTCTCATGGCACATTTTCAACGAGAGTATTTATAACTATAGAGCAAACATCTATTTTAATTTTTTTTTATAGACTTGAGTGTTTGTGTTAAGCTTGTATAAAATTTTGGAAAGGTGTTGCCAATTTTTATGTATTCTTTATATGGTTATTTTTTAGAAGTAAAATTCAAAAGTAAATGATAGTTAAATCTATATAATTCACTACAAACAGTTATACACGAAGTCTAAGATGTAGATGATGAAGATTTGCTGCACGTCACATCAATCAGAGTAATGCTTGTGATTACCTTATTAGAGTCATGACTTAGTAAATCTTGATGAAAAAAACTGTTTGGTGAAAAGACTTTTAGCAAAAAAAAAATCTTATTAAACTGTCTAAATGATTACTTCAATAAAAAAGGTGTAGTGCATACACTTTTATGTGTTCTTTTTCATTAATTCTTTGTCAATAAAAAGTTGATTTGTCGATGCAATATATATCAAGTTTAGCCTATTTCAAAAAAGTGTAATTTTTTTAATAAAATGTAACACTAAGTAATCTAATACTGTAAGTCCATAAAGTGGACTTTGAAGTTTAGAGTTGCCAAAATCAGAAATTTTCTTTTGTCTGAGTTTTCAAAACTAATATTATACTGCAAAAAAACACTAAAATTAAGGTAAATTAAAATGGTTACCAGCGAAGTCAGAAGCGATTGCTATAAATGTCAAAATATTGCATGGTGTGTGCATGCAAGTGTTTGTTACCTAAATGAATTTATTTTTTCTGCAAATTTATTTATATGTTAAAATGCTAACAAAAATTAAATTCTTGTTGCTTTTTTAATATTCACCAATTGCAAGAAGGAAAAAATTAAAAAGCGCATTTACAACTTCCATCAATTACAAAAAAAGTTGATATCAAAATTGTTAACCTTGAGTATAGCCAGTTTTGATTTTTTTTTTAATGAAATGATTTGGGGTCATTACGTTACGCTATAAGGGGGGGAGGGGCTTGGTGCTTTTGTGACAACTTGCTTCTTCTGACAAAGGTGAGGAGGTGGGGAGCGGAGGGAGGGTTAAAAAGGGTCAAAAATTGCGTGACGTATTTTATGGACGACCCCTCATCAAAAAACTACATTAGACTTTATATTCATTAGTTAATTGAAAAATTAAATTTACATTTAGTTTTGTAACTATTTGCATTATTCCAAGAAAAGTTTATTTTTCAAAAATCATAAATAATCTATTAAAATTATAAATAATCTATTAAAATTAATATTAGTGAATTTTTCAACTCAAGATATTAACTTTTCTAATTACTCAACAAATAAAAATATCAGCAATCCTGATTTCAACAACGCTTTAGATTGCATAACTTCTAAAAGTTGCGTGAAAAATGATAAAAAAAGAAAATTTGTGTACAAATTTTATTTATTTTTAAAAACACAGTTACAAGTTAAAATTAGCTCATTATTTTCTAAATTTCCATATGAAAAACCATGCAGAAACGAACAATGCATGCGACATCGTGATTTACATGCTCGCAAATGTTCTAGACATACCAATTTGAAAAACTTTTTCGACCGTGCAAAGAAGTACCTTGGATATAATATATCATATGAATTTTTTTTATGCAGAAGATTTGCAATTTAGTTTCGCTTTACTTTAATAATTTTTTTAATTTTTTAAAAATTTTATAAAATTAAGGTAAATCGAGGCGTTTTCTGGCCGGTCGACTTACACGGCAAATGCTCCCAATAATGTTGAACTTCGATTCATCACTGAACAGGACAGTTCGCCATTTCTGCACATTCCAGTCAATATGAGATGTAGCAAACAGGACTCTTTTCTTCTGGTTCTTTAGTGAAATCAGCGGTTTCTTTGCAGGGAGTCGAGTAAACAATCCGGCTTCAACAGCACGTTGTCTGATTGTTCGGTCCGATACAGGCAGCTCTAATTGCTTTTGTAACTCGACTGATGATATCCAGGGATCATTTTTGACGGATCTGACTATCATAGAATCCTCTCTAGAAGTGGTGGAACGCGGTCTTCCACCTTTCTTATCTGCTGCCAACTTCCCCGTAGAACGATATTTGAGACAAAATGGACCTTATCAGTCTTGATACGGTCCATTTTTTCACGCGATATTTACCACAAATACTTTTTTTTGACATTCCACTTACGTAATCGCCAATAATTTTCTTTCTAAGTTCCAATCCTAGACTGTCGGGAGCTATTTTTGCACTTGAAGTCATAAAAATAATAAAAATAAATAATCACGCTTCTCAAGGCTTACCGTGTTACATTTACCTTGTGATGATACAATAATGCTCTGTGGAATACAACGTCTTGGTTGAATGTGGACTTTATTGATGTAATAAAACACTTGTTGTATTTCACTTCTTGTATTGATGTTCTTCGATAAAACACTTTGATAAAACTCACTTCGATAAACTGTCTTCGTAATACTGACTGATTGACTTCCATATACTGACTGAATTACATGTCGGTTTACATGTCTCTTATATAGTAAAATGAACCTGTGTGAACCTGTTCTGGAAGATTCTAGATGCTTCTTTTCGATGCTTCTGGATGCTTCTGGATGCTTCTGAATGTTTCTGGATACTT